GGCACAGCTGCGCCCTTGCACACCCGCGACCGCAGCCCTTGCACACTCGTGACCGCCGCCCTTGCGCACCCGTGACCGCCGCCCTTGCACACCCGTGACAGCATCCCTTACACACCCGTGACCGCAGCCCTTGCACACCCACGGCGGGGCCGGCACACCCCGACACCCGCCCGGCCCCTCGCACACCCGGGGACCCCCTGGCACACCCACCCGCCCCTCCCGGCCCGTCACACACCTTTGCACACCCACGCAGCCCCTGATCCCCCCGGAGCTGCCGCCCCACGCGCGGGGGGCGCCCCGGACGCGGTGACACCCGGACGCGGTGACACGGAGCCGGGACACGGTGGGAGCTGCCCGAGCGCGCTGCCACCTCCCACGCTGGCTGCCACGGCCGGGGTGAGGAGGAGGAGGAGGAGGAAGAGGAGGAGGAAGAGGAGGAGGGACTGAGGCCGAAGCGCGGATCGGTCCCCAGGGGAGAGGGGACAGGAGGGACAAGGGACCCGCCAGCGCTGAGTGCGGCAGCGGGGCCAGCCCAGGGAGGGGTTTTTGGTGGGACCCCCGGTGCCACCCAACGCCAGCGCTCTCCGGGGGCGCGGTGACAGCGGGGACAGGGACACGGGGGGCTCGGGGACAGCGGCGCTGGCGGCTCGGGGCTCTGCAGCAGGCGGGTTTTGGGTGGCAGCGGCTGGAACGATGTTAATGACTTCTCTTCCTGTCGCTCTCCTTTTACACCGAGGGCAGCTCCGTAACCGGAGCCGCTTCCTTCCCCGAGATTAAGGAGCCGTCTGCTCGCCCTCCCCGGGCCGCTGACCCCCCCCCAAGCGGAGCTGTCACCGAATTGTCACCCCCGGCTGGCCCAGGCCTGGCCCCGGCAGGGACACCCACCCCTGTCACCCTGGGGTGTCCCCTCCCCGCGGGGCTCAGCGTCGTCCCAGCGCTGCCCAGGAATTGGGGTTCGAGGGTCCTGAACGGGAACCGGGCTGGCCACGACCCCCCCGCTCCCCTCCCTCCCTCTGCCCCCCGTGGGGCTCCCCAAAGCCCCGGGGTGGGGACCCCCCCTCCTGCCAGCTCCGGGCTGCACCGTGAGGAGCCCCGGGGTGGGGGGGGACAGGGGCCGAGCCCACTTAAAGCCACCACTGGCTCTGCCCGTGGCCCGCCCGGCACCAGCCGTGACTCGATGTCCCCGCTGTGACTCAGAGCACCTGGGGGACCTGGCCGGGTTCTGCGGGGGGGACAAAGCGCTCGCGGTGGCCTGAGCGGGACAGGAGGGGGCTTGGCATGGTGGGGGCGAGGGGGAGGAAGTTTGGGAGGGGTCCCAGCGTCCCTCTGCTCCGGGGGGAAGCGGGGATGCGGCTCCGTCCCTGCCCCGGCTGCAGGTGGGCGGCGGATGCGGCCCCGGGCAGGGGGTCCCGGGGGGGTGGCAGGTGGCCGGGGGTCCCCGGGGGTCCCCGGGGGGGTGGCAGGTGGCCGGGCCGGGCCGCGGGCCCTGCGGTTTGCCATTCGTTCCTCCATGAAGCGCTCGGCACCGCGCTGCCCTCGAGCAGCGGCGAGATGCAAATTCCTCCGGGGTGGGGGCAGAGTTTTTGGTTTTCCCTGAGACCAAATTTAGCCCCCGCGGGTGCCCGCTGCCCTCGTGCTCATTTTAATAATGAAAACAGGAACGATGCCACCGACTGAGAAAATTACCCCCAAGTTTCCCCTCGTTCCCCAGAAGCCAAATTCCACGGCAGATGCAGAACCCGCCTGGGGGCTGGGCTGGAGGGAGGGGTGGGGACGCTTTGGGGACACTTTGGGGACACTTTGGGGACACTTTGGACACTTCAGAACTGCGCCCCCGGCTGGGTGCGAGCCTCTGCCCGGTCCCTCGGCGGGGTTTTGGTGCCCGATCAGCGGGATGATGGCATGCAGGGTGGTGGCACTCCCCAGGGTGACAGGGGACACCGGGGATAATCCCCCCTCCAAGGGTCCAACCCCCACCCCGCGCCGGCGCTGGAGACCCCAGGGGAGGGGGAAACTGAGGAACGGGGCGATGCCAGGGCTGCCTCAAGGATGCCGCGAGTCCCGCCCGGCTCTGGAAGGGAGGTGGCCCGCGGTGACAAACGTGTCCCCAGCCCCGGGCGTGTCCTGTCACTTCCTCCTGGCCCCTGTGCGAGCACGAGGGTGGCCAGGAGGGACCGGGCACGGCGGCCACACGGTGCTGGCCGCTCGGAGGTGTGACGTGCGCGTGACATCAGCCACCCACAGGGGGGAAACTGAGGCACGGGGCTGGCAAAGGAGGGGAGTTAAGCCCGAGGAGGTCCCGGAGCTCCGGGAAGGGCCCTGCGGGGGAGGATGCCCGGCTCTGGGGAGAGCTGGAGCCCAAATCCCCGCGGTTCCCCTTTGCCGAGGGCCCAGCTCGGGCTCAGAGTGTCCCATCCCCAGGGACGCTGTGTCCCCGAGGGTGTCCCACAGCATCCCTGCCACCGGCCAACGGGACAGCTGGTGGCTGTTCAAGGTGACGGTCAGGACACGGCTCCTGTCCCTCCTGTCCCTCCTGTCCCTCTTGTCCCTCCTGTCCCTCCTGTCCCTCTTGTCCCTCCTGTCCCTCCTGCCCCTCCTGCCCCTCCCGGCCCTGCCCGAGTCCTCCCTGCACGGGGACACTTGTGACAACCCTCTCCCCAGGAGTCCTGCCGCGTCTTCCAGTGTCCCTGGTGTCACTTTACGGTGCCAGGGGACACTCAAGGTTGTGACATCCCGCGGGCAGGGCCGCGCTCCCTGTCGCGCCGCTCGGACCCCGCTGTTGGCACCGTCCAGGACCGGGACCCCCAGGGGGGCGCGGGGGGTGGCGGTGGCAGGTCCCCAGCTGTGGCCACGGTGGGGACACTGGCGAGCCCGACACCCTCTGGGTGGCCGGGCCGGCTGATCCCTCAGCGGGGGGGCGTCCCTGTGAATTTATCCTCGGGAATGGATTCGCGCTGGTGACGTCAGGAGCGCCCCCCCCCCCCCCCCCCCCACCGGC